CGGCTGCTGCTCATGGACTGCCGCGCGCAGGAGCTCTACGAGTCGTCCCACATCGAGTCGGCCATCAGCGTGGCCCTGCCGGGCATCATGCTGCGGCGCCTGCAGAAGGGCAACCTGCCGCTCCGCTCGCTCTTCTCCAGCAGCGAGGAGGACCGCGAGCGCTTCGCGCGGCGCTGCGGCACCGACACCGTCGTGCTCTACGACGAGAGCAGCAGCGACTGGAACGAGAACACGAGCGGCGAGACCGTGCTGGGGCTGCTGCTCAAGCGCCTCAAGGACGAGGGCTGCAAAGCCTACTACCTGGAAGGTGAGGGCCCCCCCGGGCTGGGGAAGGGAGGGGGATCTGGAAGGCTGAGGCTCGCATGGGGAGCAAGGAGCTCGGTGCCCTCCTTGCAGGAGCATAGAGGGGACCTGAAGGGTGGGGCGGGGGGCATTTGTAGTGCTGAGGCTCGCACGGGGGAAGAGGCTCGGTGGCCTCCTTGCAGGAGCATGGGAGCATCTGAAGCCAGAGACATTTGTAGTGCCGGGGCTGTCATGGAGGGAAGGAGCTCATTGCCCCCCTTGCAGGAGCATGGGGGGATCTGCAAGCCGGGGGCATTTGTAGGGCCAGGGCTGTCATGGGGGGCAAGGGACTCAGCAGCCTCCTTGCAAAGCTGAAGTGTGGGGGGATCCGTTGGGCTGAGACTCTCATGGAGGGGGGGGGAAGGGGCTCAGTGGCCTTGCAGGAGCATGGGGAAGGATTCGGGGGGTGGGGGGAGATTTGCAGGGCCGGGGCTGTCAAGAGGGGGTAAGGGCTCAGCAGCCTCCTTGCAGAGATGGAGCATGGGGGGGATCCGTAGGGCCAAGGCTCTCATGGGGCAGGAGAAGGGGCTCAGTGGCTTTCTTAGAGAGCTGGAGTGTGGGGGTGTCTGTAGAGCTGAGGCTCCTCTTGCTCTCCTTGGCAGGGGGGGGGAAGGGGCTTAGGGGCCTCCTTGCAGGAGTATGGGGGATCTGAAGTGGGGGAGATCTGTAGGGCCGAGGCCCTCATGGGGAGAGGAACAAGCTCAGCAGCCTCCTTGCAGAGCTGGAGTATGGGGGGGAGCTGTAGGGCTGAGGCTCTCATGGGGGGGAAGGGGCTGTGGCCTTCTTGCAGAGCTGGAGGGTGGGGAGATCAGAAGGGGGGTTTCTGTAGGGCCGAGGCTCTCATGGAGGCAGGGAGTGGGGAAAAGGGGCTCTGTGGCTTCCTTGCAGAGCTGGAGTGTGGTTGAGAGGCCCATCTGGGGGCAGCGGCTGCACTGGTTGCATTGTTTTTTTGTTTTGTTTTTGTTTTTTGCCCTGCTGCTCTCCTCCAGGCGGCTTCAGTAAGTTCCAGGCCGAGTTTGCCCTTCACTGCGAGACCAACCTCGACAGCTCCTGCAGCAGCAGCTCCCCACCGCTGCCTGTGCTGGGCCTGGGGGGGCTCCGCATCAGCTCCGACTCCTCCTCTGACATCGAGTCCGACCTCGACAGGGACCCCAACAGCGCCACCGACTCGGACGGCAGCCCCCTGGCCAACAACCAGCCATCCTTCCCGGTGGAGATTTTACCCTACCTCTACCTGGGCTGCGCCAAGGATTCCACCAACCTGGACGTTTTGGAGGAGTTTGGCATCAAGTACATCTTGAACGTGACCCCCAACCTGCCCAATCTCTTCGAGAACGCTGGGGAGTTTAAGTATAAGCAGATCCCCATCTCCGATCACTGGAGCCAAAACTTGTCCCAGTTCTTCCCCGAGGCCATCTCTTTCATAGGTGAGACCTGCTTCTCCTTGGCACTCCGTCCCCACCAGTTGCTTCCACTCTGCACAGTTTAAAACCCTCCATCTCTTTTGTCTCTCAGCAGAGGCCCAGCTGTTGCACAGCTCTCTTACTTTCCGAGCTGCCTTTCCCTTTGCGAGGGGGGGGGAGAGTATGTCTTTCCAGGTTTAGCAGAGGCCTGGTGAATTATCAGTCGCATTCACAGGTCACGAGAATGTTAAAGATGTGTTCGGACTTTGAGCAGACAGGGAGTAGCTTGCCAACCCAGGGTGTCCCATTTAGGGAATTATGAACAGTCTGCCCTGGCCATATATAAATATAAAATACTTTTCTTTTTTTTTTTTTCTTTCCCCTATTTCACAGCAGTTGGGGAAGAAAAAAAAATCCCACCCTCTGAGTCAATGCTTTAATGTTCTCCTTTGTTGCCAAGTGAGAAGTAGGATTAAAAGAAACTTCAGATTTATGGCCTTGCCGCTCTGTAGATAATTGCACCACTTTCAAACGTGTGTTCTTTTAATTTAAATTTCCTGTAAATTTCCTGTAAATGCACCCCATTCAGCCCTAATGCTTCTGCTAGATCTGAAATAACACTACTTCAAATAATAGTACCCGTTGGTTTTGCAATATAAGCGCCTGCTGAAATTGGAGTGAAAATAGCTGGGGCTATACCTTTTCGAGTAGATCATACCTACTGTCCCTAACACACCTCCAAACTGTTGTATTACTTTATTCAGCTCAGCATTGTTTTTTTCTTGCTCAACTTCCATGGTAACCCATGTCTCCTTTCTTGTGGAATTATCATTAATTGATTTTTTTTTTTTTTTTTTCTAAGGGGGGGCTGTGGGCATCATATTATCTGTTGGAAAGCTGTGTTGTAATCCGGTTGAGTGATACCGGTAATAGTGCAGAATGTAGGTAATCTGAGCACAGCAGGAAGAAATGTGGGCTGGGAGCCACAAAGAAACTAATCTCCAGGCATTGTAATGCATTTCCTATTACAAAGGAACCCATTTTCAAGCAATGTTGACATCCTGTTCCTCCTAATGGGCTGTCCCCTGTGACTTCCCTCATTCTTTTAAAATGCCTGAATACCTCCATTGTTAGCAGCACAACAGTTGGAGAATAATTTAATAGACCTTTGCAGTCTGCTTGTCTGTATCAAAAGCATTCAGTGACATATTGCTGGGTTTCCCGCATTCACCCGCTGGGGCAAATCTACCTAGAAATAATTTTTTTTTGTTAGAAATGTAATAGAAATAGGGTCTTTAGATCCCACTGCTAATACAAGTCTGCACTGTTCTGGGGATACTGTTCACTACATCTTGTTTCCTTTCAACCTTGCTTCGTTTTTCCCCAGTTTTCTGCAAGCACTTGGGGTGTCTGCCTCATCTCCCCGCTGGCTGTGACCTGGTACAGCTCCCCTCTTCTCCAAGGGGTTCCTCCTGATTTACACTAGCAGTCACTGGGACCAGACTTGGCCCCAGTTGGAGCAGTTCATAGCTCCAACTGTCTCATGTGCTTCCTCTCTTTTCCTCTGTGCAGATGAAGCTCGGGGCAAGAACTGCGGGGTCCTAGTACACTGCTTGGCAGGGATCAGCCGCTCGGTCACCGTGACAGTGGCATACCTCATGCAGAAGCTCAACTTGTCCATGAATGATGCCTACGACATTGTCAAGATGAAGAAATCCAACATCTCGCCCAACTTCAACTTCATGGGCCAGCTGCTGGACTTTGAGCGGACTCTGGGCCTCAGCAGCCCCTGTGACAATCGCGCATCCAACCAGCAGCTGTACTTCACCACCCCTTCCAACCAGAACGTCTTCCAAGTGGACTCCCTGCAGTCCACGTGAGCCCCCGGGCCTGCGCCCCTCGATTGGCTGGCTCGTGCCATCAATCCTCAGTGGTTTCTCTTTGACAGCGGCAAAGAAATGCAGCTTTCTCTTTTGTGGTCCCCAGGGTGGGCAAGTAGCTGCCAGTGCCTGCTAGGCAAGGTTACGCAGTGCTGGGATGGGCGATCGCCAAGGGCGGCAACTTGCCAGAGTTCTCCAAGAAGGAACGCGTCCTATTGCCGGAAGGGAGGCAGCAAACCGCTCAGTGCCCGCGCCCCCGCCTATGCAGTGACTTGGAACTGAGGACTTCCAGCGCTTCGGGGGAGCCCAGGCAGCGTGATGAGCACATGTTCTCTAGTGACTGGAAACATCCTACTTTCTTCTTTGCTTTCGGATCTGGATCTGTAACATACATCATTGTCTTCAGTGAAGACTGTTTCTTTTTTCTGAATTTAGAGGAGCCAAAGAGAGAGGTTTCAGCTCAATGTATTTGGAGTACTTGTTTGCCAGGACTCTGTAGTGTTTTACTCAATGAATGTAAATATTTAATCTTAAATCGATTGGCAAAGTTTTTATTTTTTTTAATTTTCACATACATAAAAGAAATTGGCCTAAGGGACATCTGCAGTTTTGTTCTCTTTATGCATTTTTGTGGGTTTTTTTCTTTTCTTTTCTATTGCAAAGAATACATTTGCAGCATGCTTAATTTGATTGTTCAATTGAAGTAAACTTTCTTTGACAGAAAATGGCTATCTATGGTCAGAAGTTTGCAACTCGGATTTTCCAAACAGGTGCAGTCTCTTTTTTTTCCCTCTTTCCCCCCGCCCCACTTTTTCTCCCCCCCATGATGATTTTTCTTCCTTACTCCACTTAATATTTTTTTCCTCTCATTCTTTTTAAAGTCTCTTTTTTTTTTTGCCTTACCTTTTGTAAATAAGTCATCTTGGAACAAGTTTGTCTTCAAACAGATTTTTTTTTTCACTTTTTAAGAATTTTCAGATGTGCTAAACAGTGCATTACCTCTGTACAAACTCTTCAGGGAGCTTCACTTCAAATGCAATATTTTGTGTCTTTTTTTTTTTTTCTTTTTGTATAAAACTGGAAGTATGTGTGAGCATGTGTACCTGTGTGTATGCAAGGTGAACTTGCACAAGGTTGCCAATAAGGGAGAGTCTCTAATTCATGGTGTAAAAGTTTAAAGATGGAATTTATTATAAGAATGTAAAACCTTAAATTATTAATAAATAACTATTTTTGGCTATTGAAAACATGACTAGTTCATTTTCCCCCACTTGGGTGTGATTTTTTTTTTTTTTTTTTTTTAAATTGCACGTGCATCTGAATATTGGATGGGCAATATCCCATATAGCCCCTAGCACAGAAAGTCCAGGTCCCTCTTTGTGCCCACAGGTATCTAAATTAATGAGTAGTGCGCACACAGCACTATCACTGTGCGCACAAGAGATTAGTTCAGAAATCTGCTTAATTACCAGAAAAGATACGTACAGAATGGTCCAGGCTCTTTCACTCTATCCATCACGGTCCTGAAATTCTACAGTAAGGGTCAATTTTCATGGCAGGAGACACTGATTTCTATGTATGGTTAAAGTTGTGGTCTTTCTGCTGAGAATGCCAGGAGTTGGTTCTTTCAGTGGTGTAGATATTTATCTACCAGGAATGGGTTTCAGAGATCCATAAGCAGTCTGCAGGCAGCAAATGACTCTCCATCACCACTGACTTGTTCTGGAATTAAAGAAGGTGAGAACAAGAGGAGGAAAACCTGTTAACTACCTTTGAACCATCTTGCTTTTCCTTCAGGCACACTGAAGCAGTTATGACTGTAGAAGGAGCAAACTGGGCTATGGTGCTGGTAACACTTTGTACCAAAACTTCCTGATTGTTATGGGACTTTTAATTAGGAATGATGGCAGGGCGCATTTCAAGGTCAGGATGGAGAAAAAGTGGTGGGCTGGGATTCTGAAATTCCTGGCGACCAAAATATTTCATGTAATTTTAGCAACTGCAAGGGTGTAAAATGAAAAGCGAACAAAGTGTGTGTGTGTGTGGTGGGGGGGCGGGGGGGAATGAGTCAGTGTCTCATGCAGTAGTGGCCTTGATTGAGTGCATAAACTGTGAAAGTAGAAGTGGGTTGCAGTTAAACTTGGCTTGTGTTAATCCAGTTTTGAACGGTTTCCGCTCTTGGCATTCCCTGTACTGTGCCGTTCAAAGTGGAGATTTGCAAGCAGCTCTAGCAATTTCCTGTCCAGCTGCAGCTCAAGTGACTTTTTTTTTTTTTTTTAATATGGTCTGTGGATAATTTTAGCCAGTTTCCTCTTTGTGGATTATTAATCTGCTTTCCTTGTAGAACCTACATAGCTGTGTTCCTGCTGTTCTGCTGAAGCCAACAGATGGCCTCCCCGCCACTTCCTCTTGTTTCACTGTGGGTTTGTTGTCAGGCCACTTCTGAAATTAATAATGTTTTCTGGCTGAGTGCCACAGGCCATTACCACAAAGGGGAAGTAACACATCTGAATAGCAGGAAGCCAGGCAGGGTCACAGTGTGAACTGAACCTGTTGAGCATAATTGAGCCTCTCCCATTCAGCAAGTGTATGGCTTCCTTTTGGAAAAAAAACTTCACTAAAATCCCTGCATCTAAGCAATTCATGCTGTGAAAGGTTGCTGCTAAATTAGTTGCAAATGCTAACTGTGGCTAGGTACCCAGGCAGTGGGGAGGACAGAAGTGCTGCACAAGGTTTAGCGCTTTTTTTTTTTTTCTAAAGGTTTTGCTTTCTTTGCAAACTGTGCTCTGAAAACTCAGTATTCACAAGGGTCTCCTGCTTCCTTCCTGTTTCACCAAATGACTAACACTAAATTGGTGGTTCTGCAATTCATTAACTTTTTTTCAGGACTAGCAAACAGCAAGGGTTAGTTCTTCAGCTGTTGCAAAAAGCCTTGATACTGATTGCAATAATTATACCAGCTGAGCTGCAAGCCCTGATTGGTTAATAGTGAATGTTCAAGTCAAGGGGTAAGGAGTTCTACCCTGCTCTCCGGCATGGCCACTGCAGTTTGTGGACCAGGGGAGAGAAGATCTGTTTCCATGCTAGCATTTCTCAAACTTCCCAGATCTGTTTAGTAGTTCCTCTCTATGCTCCCCTTGCCTGAAACTCAAAATCATTGTGTCCCTCCACCCTTGCTTCAGTCTTTGCTGGAGTTCGGCAGAGGTCTTTAGGCTCATGGGGCTGCAGGGGGAGCTTGGCGGCTGCTGCAGTAGTTGGGTTAATAAAGTAATTGGTAAGGGAGAGAAAATCCTTTGTATTTGTAGGGAGACCCAAGCGGGTAGGGAGGAGGAGAATTCTTCACTGGGAGTTAAAGCATCTCAGCCCTGCTTGCTGCTGTTGTGGTAAATTTGGGGGAGGGGAGAATTGCTGTTGAGAAATTTCTAAGACTTTATTAATGAAAGCTGCACCTGCTGGGATTGAATTCCACAATCAGGGAGAAATCTCTGCCATCCCATCCATGCTTCTGGCACTTCCCTCAACTTCAGTTTGTTATTGGGGAATGTAGATTAACAATTTTGCTTTTGATTTAATGATATCAAGTAGGGACCTGGTGCTCCTACTCCTAGGCTTAGGCTCTCTTCTTGTCTTATCTACATTTTTCCAAACCACTTTTCCTTACTTCTTTACAACCTTTTGAACCTCCTTTCCCTTTTCTGTGTTGGTCACTTTGCTCATTCCTGAATCTCCTTGGTCACTTTTTCTTGTGCTCTTTTCTTCCTTGTACCCCACATCCTTCCAGTTTCTTTTCATGCGTCTCAGCCTCTTTGTCCTGTGTCTGTTTTCCAAGTCCAAAAGATCTCCTACCTTCTCTCTTTTTTTCTTGTTAGTGTTTTTTTTCTGTTTTCCTAATTCTCAAATCTAGTCCAAACTCCTAATATAACATCAGGCCTCTCCTCTCTCCTTCTCCCTTCTAGGTTTTGCAATGAAAAACCAAGGTAGTTCACCCAGCATGTGGGATTTTGACTCAGATAGTTTTGATGGAGGTTGAAGAGAGAGAAGAATGCCCACTTCTCCCTGAGCATAGTCAAGCAGTTTGCCCCTATTTCTTTCCCCACTATGTGGATTTGCTTCACTGCAATTGCTTGAGGAATCGTATATGGATGGAGGGGCTCACTGGAAGGCCACTCGAGAGGGCAGACTGCCATCGTGTACAGGCTTTCTGAGGAATGTCCTTGAGATACTGATACGCTGGTTTGATACTATCAGTTTCACCAGTACAGCTTCTTCAGGGGGCCAAGTGCCAAGTTTTTCAGAAACTGGGACAAAGCGCTGTTTTACTGTACAACCAACAGGGACCCTAAAACAAGACCAGACCAGGTATTCAGCAATATCTAGTCACCTTAGTTCTTTTTGCTTCCCAGTTCTAGTTATTCGCTGCCTGTTGCCAGTCCTCTGCTCCTTCCTCATGTAACAGAGTTAGTGCTTGCTGGCTTACTGCAGGTGAGGACCATGGAAACGTAACTGCCAAACAGTGGGAGCAAGTATTAGCTCCAAACTCTTCTTTTCCTATTGAGGGGAATGGTGCTAGGGTCAGGCTAGCCTTCAGCTTCTCTTCCCTTCTATGCCTGGCAAGAAGTGGGATGGGGCAGCCCCAAGCTAGACAGCCAAGGTCACATATTGGTTTTGTCCAGTCTGATCTTAAATGAGTTAAGTCAGGGGCAGGCAATTGTTTTGGGCAGAGGGCCGCTTACTGAGTATTGGCAAGCCATCGAGGGCCACATGACAGGCAGCCCAGGGGAGATAAATATTGATTTTTTTCTAAATTTTTTAGGGGCCCCGCGGGCTGGATACAGTGGCCTGGTGGGCTACATCCAGCCCCCGGGCTGCATTTTGCCCACCCCTGAGGTAAGTGATAAGATTCCCATCAAGTCATTTCTCTAGTCTTATTGTGAGACGGTTCTCAGTTCTCTCTTAAAAGCTCTCCAAATTGCACAAAGCAGGCCATCGCTCTCTTTCATGTATAGTTACAGGAAACTGCATAATTGAACTAGCACCTCTATTTGGCTTTTTTTCTTAGAAGGAAGCATGTTCCTTTGGGATTATCACAGATCACTGGAAGCTAAGACTTCTGGACCTTATAAGACACGTATATTTTTTTTCTGCTCACAATTATGTAAGTCAGAGAACCTGTGCTGGAACAGACCCTACCCTAGGACCTTATACTAATTTCACTGGCCAGTTTGTGAACATCCGCCCCCCCACAACCCATGGCTGATCGCTGTGGCCACTTCTGGAAGCGTCTGCAGCTGCTTCTGGGAGCAAAACAGCCTTCAACTTCCTGGCCGGCGCTTGCAGGGCAGGGACCAGCACTCCCACCTGCCCCCCTGCCGGTCGCCTAAGCAGCAAGCATGGCTGGTCAGGGGGTGCACCAGTGCTTTGAGGGGGTGCACGTGCACACCCATGCACCGTCTATGCATCACCACTGAGACTCCTGTTAGCGAACAGTTCTTTACTTCTGTAAGCAAATTCTCTTATGTGGTTCATGGAGTTTGTGGATCTGGCTAATAGAAATCAGTGGGAATTTTACCCTTGCTTTCAATTAGAGCTGAACTGGATTCTTAGTTATCCACAGTGTGCTTGGAAAATTTCTAATGGCAAAACTAACTCCTAGAGAGTAAATAAAATGCAATGGTAAGAAGGTGTATTATAGAATTAGCTTGCTATTGAAGTTTGCAGATAAGCTTGTACACCTCATTGTAACCCTCCTGCTTTCATTCTCACGGCAGTCTGAATAATCTACCACTTAGTGAAATCTTCTGCAATCTCTGTCTGACTGTTTTATTCATGTTGTCATAGTTTAAGCAAAATCTCCTCAAGTCTCTTGAGTGCTGGAATTTTTTTTTTTCTGAGTAAAAAGGTGTAACCGTGTTTGTTTGTTCAGAACTGTAAGAACTGGACTGGGGCCTGGGAGCATGGTGACCTCCCCTTGTGGGGTCTGCTCCCTTTTGGGGTCTCTGGTGCGCCAGCTGGAGGAGCTCCAGGCCACAGTCCAGAGACTGCGTGCCATCAGGGACTGCGAGCAGGAGATAGACTCCTACTGCCAGGTTGATTATCTTTTATCTCTTTCACAACAAGATGCTTCACAGGTGGGGTGTGGAGATGATTTTTTTTGTTCGTCCTTTCAGATCCATGTACATTTTTAAAGATTGCTCACTCTGTATTGTTCGTGCCATTTAAATGTTGAATTTTTAAAAGGTTATGGCAA